AATTTAGCCTGTTTACTCACCAGGCAGAAATAATTGCTATGTGACCTTGAAAGATTTGAAGTTGAGATGGTTTTGCGCGAACAAGGTGGAACATTAGCTGCTATCTCTGCCCAACCGGCACTTATTGAAGAGATTAAAGAAAAACAGCAACAAGATGACTTCTTGAAGAAGATCATCGATGAACGAGAATCTAAACCGAGGCCAGGTTTCAAGTTTGAGAACAATGTGTTAAAATTTCAGGGAAGATTATGTGTACCGAGTGATTCTGAACTGAAAAGAAGAATTCTGCAAGAGGGCCACAATTCGAAACTGTCTACCCATCCAGGAAATACGAAAATGTACCAAGACTTGAACTGAATTTCTGGTGGCTGGGAATGAAGAAAGAGATTACTGACTTTGTATCGAAATGTCTTCATTGCCAACCAGTTAAAGCTGAACATCAACGACCCGCAGGCTTACTGCAGCCCTTACCAATACCGGAGTGGAAATGAGAACATATCACTATGGATTTCATTGTTGGTTTACTTCGCTCCAGTAAAGGTATGGACTCAATTTGGGTTATTGTTGATAGACTGACTAAATCTGCTCACTTCTTACCTGTCAAAACAATTTATAATGCGGACAAATTGGCTATACTCTATATCGATGAGATTATTAGATTGCATGGAGTGCCTGTATCCATTGTTTCTGATAGGGACTCAAAGTTTACATCGAGATTCTGGCAAAGCCTACAGACAACATTGGGTACAGAACTGAGACTGAGTAGTGCATACCATCCTCAGACAGATGGCCAGTCAGAAAGAACCATCCAGACTCTGGAGGATTTACTGAGAATGTGTGTCCTTGATTTTCAGGGAAATTGGGAAAGCCACTTACCGTTGGCTGAATTTGCCTACAACAACAGTTTTCATTTAAGCATTGGTATGGCGCCTTTTGAGGCTTTATATGGCAAGAAATGTCGATCTCCTATCTGCTGGGCAGAAGTTGGAGATGGGCCTTGCTTGGGCCTAAGATTGTACAGAAAACCACAGAAAATGTGAAACTGATTCAACAAAGACTGAAAACCGCACAAAGCTGACAGAAAAGTTATGCGGATGTCCAAAGGCGAGACAGAGAATATGAAGTAGGTGATCACGTTTTTGTTAAAGTGATACCGATGAAAGGCCAGACTCGTTTTAGAGTCAAGGGTAAGTTAGCGCCGAGATATGTCGGGTCGTATGAGATTATTGAGAAAATCAATCCGGTGGCATATCAAGTAGCGCTTCCTCTTGAAATGGAGCATATGCATAATGTCTTCCATATTTCAATGTTGAGGGATTATCTTCGGGATCCCTTTTATGTTATTGAGCCTACCCGTGTAGTGCTAAGTGATAACTACACTTATGAAGAACGGCCTATTCAGATTGTAAACAGACGGATCAATAAGTTAAGGAACAAAGAAATCCCGTTAGTGAAAGTTGACTGGCAAAACCATAGTGGCGTGTATGCCACTTGGGAAAGGGAAGACGATATGATCAAGAGATATCCTGAATTGTTCCCTCTGGATCCAGTGTTCTTCCAAAATGAAGGTAATTCGAGTTTGGAGGACCAAACTCTTTGTAAAGAGGGGAGATTGTGACAACTCTCACCACTGTTTACTGATAATACCACTGATCATTGCTAAACTGTGACTGAACATGATTAAGTAACTGATTAGATTGAAATTCTGAACTGATTACCTGAGTATATGGGTTTAAAGGCATTTCTATCTGTTTGCCATTAATTGATCTGTTCATATTTTAAGTTTCGAACTGTAAATTGAAGGCCTTATCGGCGGCTGAATCCGAAATTGATTGGTGTTTTATGTTAATTAGAATTTATGTGATTTTATGGTATGTTTAGTTGAAATTTGATTTGGTATGATTAAATTAGATTAAATAGTGTTAAATTACAATAGTTTGGATTTATTACAATATTGCCACTTAGTGGCTTGACACTAGACCATCCCTTTTCTACCTCATTCATGTTGGTTGCATCTTTTGTTCATCTTTGAGAGACCAAACCGACTAGAGAGAGAGAGAGAGAGTTAGGAGAGCTTTGGTTTCATCAAGAATTGCTTGGAAATTTAGAGGAATTGAAGAGTAGATTGCACAATTGAGCTTCTATTCTTGAAATTGAAGACTTAAGGTAGAGATTTTACCTTCTTTTTTATGAATTGAGTTGGTTCTTGCATGGTTTAGAAGAATGTTGAAGTCTAGAGCCAAGTTATGGCTTAAAATGTGGAATAGTGAGCTTGTATCATGCATGCATGTTTACATTCTTGCATTTTGAGGTTGTTTTCATAGAATCCTCACATGCATGTCCATATTTGGGTTATAGTTCATGAATTCATCATGTTTTGGAAGGATTGGCTCATTTGATCAAGTATTTGAAGCTTTGATTTCAATTGAACACTTGCATGTTGCATGTACATCATGTTCTTGAAGTTTTGTTTGGAAATGGGTTCAATTGAACTACCTTTGGGCTTTGATTTTGCAAATTGATCTTTGAAACATGTCATAATATGAGTTTTAAAGTGTTTTTCAGAAAATTAGCCCAAAAGGATCGAATTTGATGCTTTAAATGTTGAGTTTCATGCTTGGAGACAAATCTGGAAATTCCAGATTTTGGATCCACACTCGAGCGAGGAACTTCACGCTCGAGAGTACACTCTGAGTGCATGCATTTCGCTCGAGCGGGAAAAGTAACGCTCGAGCGTGAAATGCGTGTATCCAGTACTTTGCATGTGTTTACAGTCCGCTCGAGCGAGGGAATGCACGCTCGAGCGAGGACTTGTGTCTCACGCTCGAGCGGGGGTCGAGCGCCCGTCGAGCGTGAATTTCATGCATCTAGTACTTTTGCAATCCGCTCGAGCGAGGTAAGTCACGCTCGAGCAAGACCCCTATTTTTCTGAAAATTTTGAAAAGTGTCTTAAAGTGCATCTTTGCATCCTCATTCCATCCTAGGCATTCCTAGGCCTAGTTTAAGGTATCTTAATGAGGATAATGCTATAGAACCACACTGAGTCAAGATAGGGACTAAGTTATTGTTTCCCAAACGTGCAACTTAGTGTGTGTTCATTCTGTAACTGTGTAGGGTTGGCATCCGAGAACGCTCTAGCCTATCTGTAGCCCAGTACTTTGTGAGTAACAATGTTGTAAAGATATATTCAATCATGAATATTTTCTGAATGATCAACTGTATTGCTTTCTGAAATGATATTTCTTACTGAATGAATGCTTGTCCTATTTGCGAATTGTATTCGTGGCATCCATAACAATTTACTGTTACTGTACTGTGCTGCTACTATCACAGAGATCTCTATCGGTTTCCATGTTTGGAACCACTACTGTTTACTGATATGATGGCCATCAACTGACTGTTTGGTCTGTTAAGACCTACTGTACTGTTTGCTATTGGATGTACCACATATAACTACTATGATTTCTAAATGACTGATATGACTGTTTAATAACTGAAAGGACATTCATTTTTAACCTCTTTACACAACTGTTATTCACTGGGCTTTAGCTCACTGTTTATATAAATATGTAGGTGTCCAGGCACCGAATCGGAGCTAGGAGCTTTGGGTTTAACTCCTTTTTTGTCAAGCCAACCACTGTGCCTCACTGAGAGGTTTAGATTCATCCTTTCTGTCTCTGTTTTTTTTGTATAGACTAACTGTACCTGTACTGTACTGTTCTAATAGGGATTAAGTCACTGTCCTGGATGATTGTATATGTATGTATATACTGTTTTGGTTCTGAATGTGAATATGTATAAAAAGTCTTTTTGCATATAGACTGTCACAACTCATTGGACATCTTTTATTATTGTTTTGGCTTCCGCCAGCCCCTGTACTCTGTATTACTGTTATTACTGTTAAGCAGGCCTTCGGTAATCACGGGCTGGTTACGGTGCTAAACCCATAGGGGCGGGTTTGGGTCGTGACAACGAGGGTGCCCAATATATGTGTTAAGGCACCTAAACCTGCAGCAATAGCTGGAGCAACTAACCCTGCAACATTTCTTGTCTGCATGACAAAGAAAACTTCACATAAATACAAAAACCAATGATTTAGGGACAAAAATATATCTTGAGGTATTAAGAAATGATCAAGAAATTTTAAAACATCAACAAAACATTTCCAAAATTAATAAGATAATTTAATGGCCCCATAAAAGCAATGTCACAATGAAAAATTAGCAAATGACTTAAATGTATGTAATAATACTGATACGACAAACTCACCAACGGGTCTACGTTCAGATTAGATGCAAAGGATTAACAGAGTATGCAAACTTCAAGAAATAACCACTAAACCTCAAATGCAAATCAAGAACAACCACATAATCATCACATTTGCCTCACAAAGGTTATAAAATTCATCCCCGCAGACCACACAAGCATGCTCATTGATCCCATAAATTACAAAATTTCATAAACATGATAAATTTCTTTCTTTTTTTTTGGATTTAAAATGCTTTTATTTTCTTTTTTCTCCTCTTTTTGATGTACTCAAGTATATATGTGTAAGTATATATACATTTGCGCTTTATAGTTCTTGAGTAATATTTATTTTATGAGACATATGAGACCAAGTAAAAGAAAATCTAAAATGTTTTTTTCGATGAAATTAATGAAGTATAGAAATGGTAATCCAAGTGTAAAACTTGTCAAGTTCTAAAAAAATTCATTACCTGAACTAGTATGTCAAAAATCCATATTGAACAAGACTTCCTTTTTGCTGAACTCCTTCTGTTTCTAGTTTTCTCTTTCTGCCTTCCTGAACAAAAAATTTCAACGATATTATCACCCAATTAAGTACATGAACAATTAATAAGATAATGGAGGAAAGGGTATTTATTCATATGATGGAGGTAAGATTTTAAATATGTCTACTAGGATCACATATCATGTAAGCTAGTAAGATAAAAGCAAATTTATTCTTATTAAGAGTTTAACTTTTTAAAATTACTACAAAAACATCAAATCGCTATTTATGTCTTGATGCGTACAAATTTCATTCGGTAAGGAACAAAACATGGTTCACCATTTTTCTGACAACAGAGAAAAAAATCTTAACTTTCAATAAGCCTCAACACAGCTTCCATTTATTTTGCATCACCTAGTTTGCAAAATTTTGGGGAAAAAAAAATCCTCAACCTTACCTAAATAAATTTATGAAACTACTGAAGTAAAACAAGAATCAAAAGGAATTTGGAATTCCAGTTCCAAAGTGGTTAATTTGTTCTTCTAAAATGGCGTCACCCCACTGTTTGAAGACGAGGACATTACTGAGAAAATTTCAGTCACAGAAGCCATGGCACTCAAAGCTGCCTTGAGAACATCCTGTGAACACCCTGGTTTCACAATGGTTTGCACCTGGGAAAAGGAGAACCAAAAAACAAAAAAAGATGAGACACAAATAACAAATATGAGGATAAATGGCAAAATGAGATACAGTCAAATGAAAGGATAACATCCCACGGCTATCATGTCACAGTCCAAAGTCATCGTTCTAAACATGGACATCAGTCCCTTGTATAAGTCGGTAAGGTTTAACTTCCACTCCCCTGGGCTTAGCTAAGTCTAAATGACCAACCAATTATGCGAAGAGCGTTCGAGCAGTTTATTCAATTAGAAACTCTTACAAGTGCTATTTTAGTTTCCATTCCTTGGATTGGTAGATTGGAAGCCATTTTTAAATCCTCACTACCTAAAGTCATCACAGATCTACAATCTTGATTCCTGACATAACATAGACACATCAGAAAACCTATAAAACTACAAGACAACATGGTTTTTCCTTCATATTTCAAGTAAACCAACATTCTCAGTAATTTCATAAAGAAATCAAGTAGCTAGCAATAAGAAAATTTGCAAACCATGATGGACATCAGAAATTATAACAAACAAAAATTACAAGAAGTTTACTCTAGGAATTTTATAACCTCAAAAAGTTTACTCTGGGAAGATCGAAATTAGAGTAATAGACTATTGTTTCCAAGAATCAAAATGTATAATGAGTAAACAAATCAGAAAGATCAGAACCATAGTACCTATTGAGCAACATTTATTAGAAGGAAAAAAAAACCTATTGAGAAACATCACAAAGGTTCTTAGAACCACACTACAAGCCTTTGAACTGATGTTGTGTGATTTTAAGGCTACTGGATACACCTTTCGATCAACAACAATATCTCTCAATTGGTACACCATTTCTTTCCATCCGTTGGCAACACCCCCTAGGCTCAGGGTCAGTGTTGCCAGAGAAACGTTAATGGAAATAACCTATCCCAATGTGTGGATAAGAGATACCAAAAACAGAAGGGGGGGAAAAGCAAAAAAAATGTTAGAAATCAGCTAAATCGGGTGGAAAAAAAATTGAAAACAAAACAACACCGTTAACACCATGTTTAAAAAATGTTGTCCTTTCATAACGCGGGTACGAGTAGACTGTCACATATTTACGGGATTTTCAAAAAAAGCCACACAAAAAAAAAAAACGTTACTATAACCTCTTTTTGTTATAGTGTGTGTAATTGTTAAAAGAAAATTGTTCTTAAAGAAGGAAACCGCAGGGCAAGAAGCCTTGCACTGCCCAAGGTGCTAGCAGCTCACTTGAGTGAAGTATCAAGCATGGTACTAATTCATTAACTTCGAACTCCCCTTTGGTCTATTTTGATTCCTGAGGTGAAGAACCAAGTCCAATGGGGCCAAAATGTTTGACACTTTTCCATTCCCATTGTTCCAAGCTCTTGGGCTCTAGTTCTCTATCTACCTTTTTTGTTGGGAAGGGTTGAAAGGAGCCTATTTATTTGGTGTAATACTTAAGCATACATAATATTCTATGCCTTGCATTATGAGGATGAGCTACAAAGAAAAGGTTGCATGATAGTGCTATATTACTTTCTTTTGCTTTCATCACCGAGTTAATTGTACGTATGCAATTAATTATCTAAGCTAAGACGAGGAGATCTAAATTTAGTGATTACATAATTATTGTTGCTATTGGGATGCCTCAATCTACTGTCAAATACTTTTTTGAGAAATAATCTATGCTAAGCCTTTTTTATTTCTTTATTTTGTGTAGAGGTTTGCTGCCTTCTAGTGGTTCTTTCACATACATCTTTACTTATCAAAAAATGTATGAACTTAACTTCTTCGAATAAGATGAGGAAAGGAAAATTTGACCTGGATTTCATTGACCTGGATTTACAAACTCAAGGATCAAACCCAATCCCGAGCACTTTGCTTCTACAAGGATCAAACCCAACCCAACCTAATAACAGTCATATTCTTAAATTTAAAAAATAAAAAAATATAAATAAATCAAACTGATGTAGCCAAAATGATATGTAGGATCTCAACAAATTTTAAACTTCACAGAACAAGGTAATTTTTTTTAACCTATTCCATCAACATCGCAGTGCAGTCTTGTTCTGAATCTAATTCTAAAGATACTCAACAGCTATACAAAGAGAAATCAAAGTACCAAACCAATTAAACAAGTAACTAAATATAAACAGAAAAAGAACATAAATATGTACATCTATACTATACTAAATAAAAGGAGAAAATTTGGTGTATCATTTCGAAGTTTCCAAACATTTACCCCATATTCATTCATTTTGAAATTTTTTTATTGCACATACTCCCAATGAAACACCCTGTATTTTCCTTTTTTGAACAGCAACAAAAGGAATATTACTAATAATTACAAAACAAGTACAAAGAACAAGGGGGACAAGTTGTCCACGAAAAAGCACAAAAGAAAATACAAGCAGCAAAACTAGCTGCAAAAGGCTACATTGGTGCTTTTGGTTGTTAGCCTATCACCAAACCTAGTGTTTCCAAGTATATAATTATAATTCAACCTTAAAATAAAATAAAAATAAATAAATAAGTAGTTGTTAAATAAATAACTTTACCAAAATTTCAGCCACATCAACTTATTAAATCCAGCCCCTAAGAACCCCTATTGAATGGTAAAGGTTATCCCCACTTGTTCTACATCATATGTGTTGAAAAATTACACTCAAAAGGATCCATCCGCTACACTTATCCAATCTTAATTAAACTTTCACCATCCACCCCAATAACCCACTTTTGAGTAACCAAGGTGTGATAACAAAAATGATCCACAAAACCAGATCAAACACAATTGTGAACAAACAAATCAATGGTTTGGAATCTTAACTTAATTCAATGGTTTTGGAATCAACAACAATTGGGTGTATTTGAGAAGTTTCCCATTCAACAATTGGGTCTCAAATTTTCCCTCCTATCACGTTCACACCACCACCTCACTTTGTTAAGTCCAATATAGCATTATTAGTACTCATCGTCTACACACACAATAATTGTCACACTGACTTACTTTTTTTCCCCTTTTTCTGTATTTTTAGCTTTCTATTCGTTATGTTGACACAGAGATTAGGAAAAACAAAATAAGTTGTGCACTAGAGGAGAGAAGGCAGTGTGTATAGCGACCCCGGTCTTTTCCCATTTGATTATTGTATCCGGACTTAGGTTCCGTAGATTCTATCATTATATAATTGTTGTTGTTGTCCCATATTTTCTTATTTGGAGTTATAGGATGTGTTGGGCAGGTTTGTTTCAGGTTGGTTGGGTTTAGAAACCAAGTGTTGCTGTCCAGAATTTTGGTTCTTCACTCGAACGAGGCGTTGGTCGCTCGAGCGAGCTGTTGTTTTTGGTTCTTCGCTCGAGCTGGGGTTTGGTCGCTCGAGCGAGAGTTGGCGTCCTGTATGGACCTGTAGCTTTGCATTCTTGGCTCGAGCGAGCTTTTCTTCGCTCGAGCGAGTTAGTTTGTTCTTCACTCGAGCAATAGTTCCTTCGCTCGAGCGTGAGTCTGGTTTCAGACCTGAGGGTTTGAGTTCTTCGCTCGATCGAGCTTTCTTTCGCTCGAGCGAGCTTTTGGGTTGTTGGCTCGAGCAAGGCTTCCTTGGCTCGAGCGTAGATTCTCTGTGTCTGGTCGCTCGAGCGACCAAGTCTTCGCTCGAGCGAGCCTGTCATTTGGGTCGCCAGTTTTGGTGGCGGGGTATGAAGAGAGATGTGGCAGCTTTCGTATCTAAGTGCCTTACTTGCCAGCAAGTGAAGGCCGAGCATCAGAGGCCAGCGGGTTTGTTGCAACCCTTGCCTATTGCCGAGTGGAAGTGGGAACATGTTACTATGGACTTCGTTGTGGGTCTTCCGAGG